AAACAAGCAGAGAATGCTAGCTTTGCCTCTGCCCTCCCCTCCCTTTCTTTTTTTTTTTTTTTTTAATTAAAGCAAAAATCCTACTCCGATTTCTTTCTGTTAATGAACTTTCAAAAAGTAGGGGACATTTATACTGATAATTGCCTCTTTGTGCCTACAGATAACACTTGGACAGGGTTGATATTTTCTGCTTATACAAAGCGCTGATTTTATTATCTCAGCTTCACAAAAGTACTTCTCTCTCTGTTGACTTTCTTCCAGATGAAGAGAAGAGCAAGCAGAATAAAATAAAAACTCCGGCTAGCGATCCTAGTGAAGGAAAAGCAAAAAGTGTACGACATGCTTATGTCCACAAGCCGTACCTGTACTCCAAGTACTACAGCGACTCCGATGACGAGCTAACAGTCGAACAGCGGCGACAATCTGTTGTAAGTCAGACTTGGATCACTCTGCTTTTTTGTCCTACACTCAATCAGCTTGACAAATGGGAATTCTGTGAAAGGTGCTGGTTAGCATATAGAGCAGTTACATCCTGTCTCTGCCTTCAGGAACCTTGTCATTGGATTAGGGAGACTAGATATGAATATGCAACCGGGGTGTGCATCTCGTCGTCATTAGTAGTTAAGAACTGGTAGAAATCCAAATGGTTCATGGTCTGGACTGTTTGAATCAAGTATGGATCGAGGCCTGCTGAGGGACATACTGGTGTGGAGCCATTAACAGAATACCAAGAAGGGAAATGCCGTGTGTCTTATTTCTTGGATTTGAAAGTGCTTGTAAGATGTACCGTTGAATTACTGTCAACTTTTTGAAGGGGGCTGGAATAACGACAAGATATGCTCCTTCCTGTTTTGCTGTGGCACGCTCCAGGGTCAGCACTGGACGGCTAACTGCAAGATCAGCAGTTGAGGCCCACCAGCTTCTCCTCTGAAACCCAACACAGGGTCACTATGAGTAGGAACTGACTCTGATACAACAGCAACAATAATACATATACATCTGCTGTAAGATGGCTCCCAACTTGAGAAACACTGAAATATGAACAACTGTGCATCTTAGACTGAGAAAAAAGATTGGAGGAAAATAAAACAAAATGCTAATCGTGCTTACCAGCATTATTAGTGGATTTTATTTTCTTATCCTAAGGAGCTCTGGTAGCGTAGTGGTTACGAATCGGGCTGCGAACCTTAAGGTCAGCGGTTCGAAACTACCAGGTGCTCCGCGGGAGAAAGATGAGGCTTTCTACTCCCGTAAAGATTTACACCCTCGGAAACCCTCTACAGGGTCGCTATAGGTCGGAACCGACTCGATGGCACTTAACAACAACAATTTGTGTTTGGAGTCTTGGTGTGGCACTGTAGGATAAGCACTGGACTGCTAACCACAAGGCCGCCCACCAGCCATTTCTGTTATTCAGACAGGGTCACTGTGTGTGTCAGAACCAATTTGATGACACTTAATAGCAACAACAACATTTTGTATTTGCTAAAGCAGTTGTTCGAACAGAACATGGGAACACTGAATGTTTTAAAATTGGGAAAAGTGTGAGACAGGCTTGTATTCTTTCACCATACTTATTCAACCTGTATGCTGAGCAAATAATACGAGAAGCTGGGTTCTATGAAGAAAAACGTGGCATCAGGATTAGAGGAAGACTCATTAACAACCTGCGATATGCAGATGATACAACCTTGATCGCTGAAAGTGAAGAGGACTTGAAACATTTACTTATGAAGATTAAAGAGCACAGTCTTCGATATGGATTACATCTAAATGTCAAGAAAACAAAAATCCTCACCACTAGACCAGTAAACAACATTCTTATCAATGGAGAAAAGATTGAAGTTGTCAAGGACTTCATTGTTCTTGGATCAACTATCAACATTCGCGGAAGTAGCAGTCAAGAGATCAGACGACGTATTGCACTGGGCAAATCTGCTGCACAGGAACTTTTTAAAGTATTGAAGAGCAGAGATGTCAGCTTGAGGACTAAGGTGCGCCTGACCCAGGCCATGGTGTTTTCAATAGCCTCATATGGATGCGAAAGCTGGACAGTGAATAAGGAGGATCATAGAAGAATTGATGCCTTTGAGTTGTGGTGTTGGAGGAGAATACTGAAAGTGCCATGGACTGCCAAAAGAACCAATAGATCTGTTTTGGAAGAAGTGCAGTCAGAGTGCTCCTTGGAGGCCAGGATGGCTAAGCTTCGTCTCTCCTACTTTGGACATATTGTCCGGAGGAAACAATCGTTGGAGAAGGATGTCATGCTGGGTAAGGTGGAGGGTCAGAGAAAAAGAGGAAGACCCCTAACGAGATGGATCAGCCAGGTGGCATCATTGATGGACTCAAGTGTGGCAGCGGTAGTGAGGTTGGCCCAGGATCGGACATTGTTTCCTTCTGCTGTGCATGGGGTCGCTATGAGTCGGTTCCGACTCAATGGCACCTGACAACACAACAAAGCTTGTATGATCTATGTGTAGTGAAGGTCGGGAGGGTGGGTGCTGTCTTTTATACAAGAGACGCCACAGGGAGTCAAGGAGACTTAGTAAATGAACGCTGTAAGGTGAGGTAGGAAGGTTTCGGCCCCTCATTCCACCGACGTTTCTTTAGGGTATGTTATGGGCGGGCTGTAACTTAATTACAAGGGGGAAAGAGGTAGTTCCGAGAGGACAGGTAAAGAACTTCACTATAAGCAGGCTTCAGCTAGGTCGTGTAGAGCATGAATCAACCCAATAACCCAATAAGAGGTTCATATGAAAAGCCAGTAAGTGAAAAGAGAAATCTATCATATAATTTTAGCTTTTTCCTCTGAGAATCACTGTTATGAAGTCCTTCCTATGTACCCTTTTTGTTGTCGTTGTTAAGTGCTGTTGAGTCAGTTCTGACTCAGTGACCCAGTATAGGATTTCCGGGGAGTGGCTGGTGGGTTTGAACCACCGACCTTGATGCCCCTATTTTTGTGACTGTTCTTAAACAGCCAGTTTATCAAACTGCCTTTTTCCAAAATGATCACCATTGCCATTCTTTAAATTAATGGCATTCTGTTGTTGAGGAAATTTTTCATATCCGCCTCTTCTATTTTTCTGGTAGTTTCCATATTCTGAAAAGTCACAGGAAAAAAATACAAAGTGAGAAATGTGTGTGTGTGTGTGTTTAGGTGTACGATTTCTGTAGGCGCCTTGTTGTCGTGAAAAATGCAGGCCAACATTGGAGATACACTGCAGGCTCAGTTTCAGACCACCGCAACAAGCGGATGGTGCCATGAAAGAGTCATACATGTTTTTTTTTGGTTTCCTGGTGTGTGTGAAAGTTATTTTTACAATACGTTGTTGTTGTGAAGTGCCATCGAGTCAATTCTGACCCATAGCGACGATGTATAGGGTTTCCGAGGAGCAGCTGGTGAGCTTGAACCGTAGTCTAAAAGTGTGCAGTAGCAATATGAAAAAGTCTGAAATACTGTGAGAGTTACCAAAATATGGCACAGAGGCACAAAGTGAGCAAGTGCTGTTGGGGAAACGGGCCTGGTAGACTGGGTTTGATACAGGGTTATTGCAAAGCTTACGTTTACTAAAAAACGCCGGTATCTGCTGAGTGCAATTAAACAAGGCGTGCCTGTTCATTGGTGAGACTATCTGAAAGGCAAGCTAAAGCCATCCTGTTTCTGAGGAAAATGTTTTAGCCTTTAATGTTTTTCTTGTTTTCTTTTACCTGGTAATCTGTCTGGGTAATTGTGAATACATGATTGTTTTGCTTTTAGGCTAAAGAAAAAGAAGAGAGACTTTTAAGAAGGCAAATTAATAGAGAGAAATTGGAAGAAAAACGAAAACAGAAAGCAGAAAAGACAAAGTCTTCAAAAGCCAAAAGTCAAGGTATAGAAGATGCTAACTAACCTTTAATGTTTTTGACTGGAGTAGATGCTCCATTTATTTCTAGGTGCTCATTTTGCTCATGAGATAGGGTGATGAAGATAACACCTTTTTACAGGTGTGGAAGATTTCTTTATCTTTCATGTGTAGTCTTTTTTAAGTGTTCTATTTCTCTCAGCTTACTTAACTCACATGCTAACAGTTCGTTTTCCAGTGACTATAAAACAAACTTTCATTGGAAAAGAAATTGTTTACATATAAAAAGAAACCTGGTGGGTGGTGGTCATTGTTTGCCACTGCATCAGTTCGGACTCATAGCAACCCTGTACTAGGTTTCCGAAGCTGGAAATCTTTACAGGAGCAGAAAGCCTCATCTTTCTCTTACAGAACAACTGGGAGATTTGATCTACTAACCTTACAGGTAACAGCCCCACTTATAAATCACTACTCTACCAGAGCTCCTTAAACCTTCTGTCAGGTGACCACATGCTCAGCTCACATGCTGACAGTTTATTTTTCAGTGAGTAAAACCAACTGGAATAGGAATTGGTTTACATGTAAAAAGAAAACTATTTACATGTAAATAAAGGCTGGCTTATGACTGTAATGGAGTGGATGTGTGTTTTACATTAAGTAAAACAACACTGGCGTCTATCTGGATTATTGCTTTGACCAAAATTGAATTTAACTAAGTGTCTGAATGCGTATACGAGGGTAAGTCAAAAAGTATTGCCACTAGTGTTCCAGTTCTTACACCTGATGATCAGGTTTTTTTCAAACATGTCTCTGTAGTCAGTGGATATCTGCAGACACGTTCTCTCAGTAATATGAGGGGGTTTCAAACAAAATTTATCAAGAAATAGAATTGAAAGATACTGGGATTTTTCTACAAACTTTTTGAAGCCCCCTTGTGCATTTCTCAGTCACAATAGGGTGCCTTCAAAAAAGGTCCAGTCAGAACAGTGACTTCCGAGGAGATCTGCCAGACCAGTTAAATTCAAGACAGAGAGGTCAGCTCAGAAAGGTATGATGACGTTTTGGGGTGGGGTGGGGGGATCCCAAAGTGATCATCTTGATCCATTTTTCAAAAGACACAGGACAGTCACGGGGGCCTTACTAGGAAGAAGTTCTAAGAAAATAGAAAACTGCACAGGTGAAAAAAAGGGCCAGAAAGTTGTGCTGTGGTGCAGTTGATTAGCCTAAGAGGCCTTTCTAGCCATAGCCCTGCTCGTCATGCACGGTCAATGCTAACCTTAGACCTGGGGGTATGGTCCCATGTTGGAGGGCGTTGTCTGTTATATTAATGAGACAGGATTCAAGTAGGCTCTGTCTTGGATCTCCACCTTACTTAAGACAGTGTGACTCAAGTCAGGACCCCCTAGTTTACTTGAGGGTGTGGTCCGAAAATTAGCCATCATTAACATCCTGTCTTAAGCTGTTCCCTTAGTAGCCAAACTATATGGAGCAAAAGAAACTATGGATTACATTGCAAAGAATGGAAATTCCAGAACTGATACTTAATTGGGCCCATGTAGAAACTGCGTATGGATTGGGAGGTAGTCAATTAGAACAGAGCAAGGGAATATCGTGTGGTATAAAATCAGGAAAGGTGTGTGGCTGGGTTGGATCCTCTCACTATACTTATTCACTCTATACGCATAGTCTCAGAAGCTCCATTTTATGAAAATGGCATCAGGATTGAGGGAAAAGTCGTTAACATCCTGCAATGTGGAGATGGCACAACCTTTGCTGAAAGCAACGAGGACTCGAAGCACTTGTTCATGAAGATTAAAGACTATGGCCGTCAGTCTGAATCACAACTCAGTGTAAAGAAAACAAAAATCTTCACAACTGGACCAACATCATGATAAACAGAAAAGATTGAAGTTGTCGTGGATTTCATTTTGCTTGGACCCAAGATCAGTGTGCCTGGAAGCTGCAGTCAAGAAAATAAATGACATGCAGCATTCAGCAAATCGGCTGCAAAGGCATCGCTTTGATGACTAAGGTGCTCCTGATCCAAACCATGTCACTTCATAGACATTTGAAAGCTGGGCAGTGAATAAGGAAGAACAGAAGAATTGATACATTTGAATTATGGTGTTGGAGAAGGATAGTGACAGTACCATGGCCTGCCAGAAGAACAAGAGGAAATACAGCCAGAATGCTCGTAGAAGCAAGCATGGTGAAACTGTTGTCTCATTCCCTGGACTTGTTAGCAGGTGGATTGACCCAGTGGTGGCAACAGTAGGCTCAAATGTAACCACTGTTAGGATAGTGCAGGACTGTGCAGTGTTTCGTTCTGTTGGGCATAGGATCTCTATGAGCTGGAGCCAACTCGAGAGCACCTGTTGTTAAGTGTCATCGAGTATGTCGGTCCCAATTCATAGCAACACTGTATAGGGTTTCCAAGGAGCTGCTGGTGGGTCTGAACCACCAACCTTATGGTTAGCAGTCTAGTGCTTATCATACAGCGCCATACCAGTGTCTACTTAGCAATAACTTAACGGACATCTTCCTGTGTAATTAAGAAAAGTAGGAGGATGAAGTTGCAAAACTGGCTGGGACCAGGTCTGGACAGCCTGACTTGCACAGTAATGACCTACATGTCTGATAGTTTTTTGATATCATGAGGATGGAAACACACCTCCTAGAATGCCCCATAAGTGAGCAAAACACTTTGCCACCTCCCTTCCTGACGGAGGATTCACAGAAGATTAATGCTGACTAATCCTGAACGACATCAATCAGACATTAGTTACTGACCCCAGGCCCAAAACTCAGGGAGCCATCATGGTGACGTGAGTCTTGGCGTCCTTCTTTTTTCTCTGTGCTAAGTAGCATGGGCAAAATTGGCTCTATTGTATGAATCCTGGGTCTGGTTCACCTCCGTCAAATCTCCGATTCTTGGGACCTGAGCTGGTAGCCTCCTGCCTGACCTGATTCTCCAGTTTCTACAGCCTCATGAGTCAACAGAGTCAACAGGCATGAGTGAGGAGACGCCTCCAGTCTGAACCATGGATTTGGGACTTGCCAGCCTCTACAGACTTGTGAGCCATTTCGGTGATGGTTCATGAGTTCTGTGAGATGATGCAGCGAATTGCAGAGCCTTGCAAAGGGAGTGAGAATACTGAGGTCCAGAGTAGCAGTTGATTCCAGGGACTATGAAGTGGCATAGCATTTTGGAAAAGTCGAACATTTGGGAAATCTTTAACCTTCACCTCATAGGGACCAGCCTCATGCTGATATTTCTGAAAAAAAAAAAAAAAAAAAAAAAATAACTTTTTCTGTCACAACAATGCACTTGCTCATTCTTCGAGGATAGCCAGGGCAGTCCTAGTAGATTTTCATTGGAAACCTTACCCTATCCATCCCATCACCCTGATCTTGCTCCTGACTTTTCGTTGCCAAAACTCAAAGAACATTTAAAAGGAATACAGCTTAAGTCCCTTGAGGATGCCAAAACTGCCCTTTTAACAGTGTAAATCAAAGACTACAAAATTCTTCAGAGGAGAATTGTTAAGTGTCATCAAGTCGATATCGACTCATAACAACCCTATATAGCATTCCCAAGGAGCAGCTGGTAGGTTTGAACTGCCAATGTTGTGGTTTAAAGTCCAGTGCTGATCATACAGCGCCGCTCCAGGAAAGATGGAAGCCCTGCCTTCTGAAGTGTGTAGACCCAGATGGAGGCTCTATTGAGAAACAGTAGCTTCACATTTTGATGTTTTTGTTGAGTTTCTGATTTTGTAAGAATACTATTTGACTTACCCTCATATGTGTATATGTTTAAAATGTTAGCATTTTTGTTGATATTTTCATAGCATGATAATTTGAATTAGAAAAGATAAGGCTTTTCCATCTCAAGCATGACCTAAGTTTATTGACGAAAGTGATTTCCCTTTTTTTGTTGTTTTTTTGTTTTTTACAATGACAAGACAATCTTAGTGGAAAATAAATATTACATTATTTACAAGCCTCTGTTCTGAAATACAGTTTATTGCTTGCTTTTTCCTAGGCAAAGGTAGTGTGGACTTAGAAGAATCATCTGCCAAGAATTTGGAACCCAAAGTCCCCCGAATTAAAGAAGTCCTTAAAGAAAGAAAAGTTTTAGAGAAAAAAGTAGCCTTAAGCAAAAAAAGGAAAAAAGATTCAAGGTACATATTTTATCTACCTGTGTTCCCATGGTAATGTTCCCCTGGCATGGTCATGTACCAGAGGCATTGTAAATGAGGAAGACCCATGCCTTCAATGTGTGTTACTCGTTTTTTATGAAGAAGTTTAGGGTTTCATTTGTACTGTCATAATGTATGGTGTTAATATATGTAGCATTCTTGAGTGGAATATCTTAATTCTGTGTTGGGTCCCATACCTCTTTGACAATCTGATGGCATATTTGCACCCTGTTGCCATATAAAGTATATGCATACACAAATAATTGTGCCTGGAGTTTCAGGTAATTAAGGACCTGCCACAGTATATCCAGGAGTCCTGCTGTGGTACTGTAGGATAAGCACTGGACTATGAACCACAGGGTCAGCAGTTCAAACCCACCAGCTGCTCCTTGGAAACCCTATACAGGGTCACTGTGAGTCTGAACAGACTTGATGGCGCTTGTCAACAACAAAGGTATAGCCAGGGACCTTCTAGAAGCATGCTGGAACCACTGACGCTGAAGTTAGCAAACATATATAAGGTTTTAAACCCACCAACTGTTCAGGAATTTAGTAAGAGTTTATGTGTGACAGTTACATTCACTGTCCAGTCTTGGCAGGCAGTTGTCTTTATTGGTATCCCATGTGTCCCCCTGCGGGACGGATGTCCAACCACATTCTTTGTGACTGCTCCATTGTCACAGCGACTTTCCGTGTGAACTAGAGAGCTTGAAGAGACCTGAAAGTGACTAAAAGTCTGCTGGGCCCGAGGCTCTAGTCTCACTGTTTCATCAGAACGTAATTATATAACTGCGTCTGGGACTTCAAGCTAGCTGAGGTAGTTATTGGAAGAACGCAGTGAGAGACGTTAGCTCTCAATTTTCTTACTGTTTTACTTCATTCTTACTGATCTGAATAAATCAAACTCTCGTTTGCTCTGATGCCCATGTGCACACACACAAATGTTAAAAGACTGCACATTAAGCTTTCATAGTTTAATCATGACCCATAAAGATATTCAACCCTTCAAGCAGCAAATTAGGACTTTTGTTTCAAGTATACTTCCCTTTAGCACCAGGAGCAGTGTGTTCAAGCCACATTGAGGAACTGTGTGCCTTGCTGCAGCTGACAGAAGGTAAGTGGTGGTGTGATGTGCCGTGGAGTCGGTTCTGACTCATAGCGACCCTGCGCAGGGTTTTCGAGGCTGTAAACCTTATGGGAGCAGAAAGCCTCTTCTTTCTCCCACGGAACAGCTGGTAGTTTCGAATTGCTGACCTTGAGATTAGTAGCCTGACTCATAACCACTGCGCTACCAGAGCTCCTTATAAAATACATGTTTACTGTTAAATTATTTTTTTACAAAAAGTATTTGTTTTGTTTTTTTTAATCTTGAAAATTCTCTTGTGGGGTTTTTTTTTTTGTGCTTCCTTGCGTAGGAGTACTGAAGAGAATTCTAAAAAGAAGCAGCAACCTGAAGAAGATTCCAGAGAAACCATCAAAACAAGTGAGGTGCGTATTAATAAAACCTCATTGAAATGCTCTTTCTGTGTATTAGATATGGTCCATTCAGTGCTTAGGAAGAAAATTTAGAAGGCATTTTGATCTTCTCCAATTATCAAATTGCCATTAACACTGATAAAGAGGAAAAGAGCTGAAATCCCGTCCCCTAACAACTCATCTGTATTAATCCCATTCATTCCTTGTTCACATGCATATACAATCTAGAGTGAATGTAGTTTAGAAAAATGTTGTTAGCATTCCACGTTAGTCACTTCATGTCACCTTGCAAGCCTCTCAGTTAGTCTATTTGGTGATCTTGTAGTGCTATACTGAATGAGCATACTGTCATTTATGAAAGCATTTACTGAGAGTCGAACATTTAGGTTGTTTCCAGAATGTCATAATCTAAATAGAGTAAAAATTCTTAGTTGCTGTTGTTGTTATGTGCCCTCCAGTCGGTTTTGATTCATAGTGATTCTGTATAGGGTTTCCAAGGCTGTATGTACATCTTTTTTCAGGAGCAGAAGGCCTCATCTTTCTTCTGCAGAGTCGCTGGTGGGTCCTAACCACAAACCTCGCTGTTCATAGTCCAGTGCTTGTCCTTCAGAGCCACCACGCTTTCTTGAGTAACGTTGTTAGGTGCCATTGAGTTGGTTCTGACTCATAGTGAGTCTGTATAGGGTTTCCAAAGAGCAGCTGGTGAGTTTGAACCACCAACCTTGTAGTTCAAACCTGTGTTTCTGTCCTGTGCTTTATTTCACCACACCACAGTGGAGAAACATTGTTGTTAGATGCCATCAAGTTGGTTTTGTCTCATAGCCACCCTGTATACGGTTTCCAAGGAGAGACTGGTGAGTTTGAACCTCCAACCTTGTGGTTCAAGCTGACATTTTCATCCAGTGCTTTATCCCACAACACTACACCAGGAATAACGTTGTTGTTATGTGCCGTGGAGTCGGGTCCAACCCATAGCGACCCTGTACAGGGTTTCCGAGGCTGGAAATCTTTACGGGAGTAGAAAGCCTCATCTTTCTCCCATGGAACCGCTGGTAGTTTTGAACTGCTGACCTTGCGGTTTGCAGCCCGATTCGTAACCACTATGCTACCAGAGCTCCTTAGGAGTAACATTAGGTACCATGAATATATTTCTTCCCTGTTTTAGATTATTTTCTTAAGATAAACTTTGAGTTTTGCTGTGGTTAAGTACCAACTCATTTCCGACTCATAGCAACCCTGTATGGGGTTTCCAAGGAGCAGTTGGTGGGTTTAAAACCTTATATATGATTGCTAACTTCAGCGTCAGTGGTTCAAACCCACTAGCCGGTCCCTATACAGGGTGGCTGTAAGTTGGAAACGAGTCAGTGGCACTTAACCACAGTACCATTTATAATGTTGCAGTTAACTATCTTAACATTTCTAGGGAGGGTGAACTGATAATTTAATTATTTAATTATAGCCCGTAGATAATTTTTTGACTAAAAAATTAGAAGCATATTTACAACTGTATCCTTGTGTTTTAATGACTTTTTTATTATTATTTTATGTTAAAATCACATATTTTTAAATCTCATAAAACTTTATTCACATGTAATCATTTAGAATTTCTTATAAATTTCGGTTGATGCACAATCCCCTTAGTCTTCCTTTAAAAAATCGTAACTTTATTTTTTAAGGTCTTACTATGTCTTATTTCCTGTATTAGTGGAAACATGTTCATCTTTATGTTAACATTTAAAGAAGCTGAAACAGTGGGCTCAACCATGACAACAGTTGTGAGAATGTCACACATAGGCCTTACAGAAGCGGCTCAGTGGCACCCAACAGCAACCACAAACAATGTAAGCCGGCTCAGAAACACAAAAGGTTCTCACCAGCCGCGTATTTGAGTAAAAATAGAGTTATTGTGTGCATTTGAAACTTCATCAGTAGAACAGCCTACAAGTGTCCTGAATTCATGAGGCCAGGGTAAATGACTTGGGTTGCCATTATTTTCTACTTTTTATATAAATGGTTTAAATTGTTCGTCATCAGGTTTTATGTTCTTAGACTAGAAAGAGCTTTGACCTGTCATTTCATTCAACTTATATTTATGAGCAACTACTGATTGTTAGGAGGAGCTCTGGTAGCGTAGTGGTTACGAATCGGGCTGCGAACCTTAAGGTCAGCGGTTCGAAACTACCAGCCGCTCCGCGGGAGAAAGATGAGGCTTTCTACCCCCGTAAAGATTTACACCCTCGGAAACCCTGTACAGGGTCGCTATGTGTTGGACCCGACTCGATGGCACTTAACAACAACAACTGATTGTTAGGAGTCCTAGCAGAGCCGTGGTTAAGCGCTTGGCTGCTAATCAAAAGGTTGGTGGTTCAAACCCCCCTAGCCACTTGGCGGTAGAAAGATGTGGCAGTCTGCTTCCATAAAGATTGACAACCTTAGAAAGAAACCCTGTGAGCCAGCTCTGCTCTCTCCTATCGGGTCACTGAGTTGGCATCAGCTTGGTGGCAATGGGTGTGGGTTTTGGTGTTTGAGCATTAGCTGGGCATTGTGTGTCATGTTGTATGTCTTCGAGTCACTTCCTACTCATAGGGACCCTGTGTAAGGGTTCTGAGAGTGGTTGTTGGGTTTGAAGTGCTGACCTTGTAGTTACCAGTCCAGTGCTTATCCTATAGTGCTCGGATGGGCATTGCGTTGTTGATGTTAAGTGCCGTTGTCGGTTCAACTCATAGTGACCCTGTATAGGATTTCTGAGGAGCAGCTGGTAAGTTTGAACCACTGACCTTGTGGGTCAAACTGACTTTGAGGTCATATGATTATCCTATGGGTGCCAGTATAGAACTAATGAAGGCTTCCTCAGAACGTGGACAGATCTCAGGAGAAAGAAGTAGTCTCTGTAAAGCTGCCGGGGATGCAGTGGGGAGAGCACGAGACTCAGCTGAGGTCATTGAAACTCAATGCTTTCACAGCTACTTAACTACTTACGTATCAGCTTGTTGAGTCACACTGAGCTTCAGCTTCCTAATGCGTAAAATGAGGTTAGTAATGCCTACTTCCAGGAGGCCTATGGCGCAGTGCTTGGCTGCTAACCCAAAGGTCGCCAGTTTAAACCCACCAGCAACTCCATGGTAGGAAAATGTGGCAGTCGCCTCCCTTAAAGATTGAAGCCACAGAAACCTTCTAGGGCAGTTCTAATCTGTCCTGTCATGTCACCGTAAGTTGGAACCGACTTGACAGCCATACAATTTTTTTGTTTTGTTTTTAATGTCTACTACAGGTTGCTTGCAAGGATTAAGTGAGTTTTAATGTGTGTGACAAGAATTTGGGTGTACCTATTAATGCACCCAGATGTTAAATTTGAATCTCAAAATGTGTTTTGGTATTTCTCATATTTGGGCTTTTATTTTCTTCCAGCATTGTGAAAAGGAAAGGATGTCTTCCTCAAAGGAGATAAAGCATGCTCCTGCCAAAAGTGAATCGAGTAAGCCTGCCAGGAGACTCTCAGAGTCTGTGCATTCAGCTGAGGAGAATAAAAGTGAATCCAAAGTAGAAAGAGAACATAAAAGACGGACCTCTACCCCTGTCGTGGTAGAAGAGTCACAGGAAGAATCCGACGTAAGAGATGGGAAACGGCAAGTGGACCGCTCAGAACTTGGCACGGAAGAACCACAGAAACCAAAAAGCTCACTGAAAAATGAAAGGCATCTGAAGAGAGATGATTCTGAAGCTCCACATTCAAGGAGCCTACCTAAGAAAGAGGTGAAATTCTCCAAGGAGAAATCACTGTCAGAAGACAAATTGTCTACGAAACATAAATATAAAGGTGACAGTGCACATAAAACAGGTGATGAGGCAGAACCTCACTCTTCTGAGAAAGGTTTGAAAACAGATGAAAATATTCAAAAACAAAGTCAACAAGCAAAACTTTCTTCAGATGATAAAGCGGACCGAAAAAGTAAACATAGGAATGAAAGGAAACTGTCCATTTTGGGCAAAGATGGAAAGCCAGTTTCTGAGTACATTATAAAAACAGATGAGAATATTCGTAAAGAAAACAGCAAGAAAGAGAGACACATGTCAGCTGAGAAAAATAAAGCAGAGCACAGATCAAGAAGATCAAGTGATTCTAAAATTCAGAAAGAGATGCTGAGTTCCAAGCCACATGGTACCACCTTTCAAAAAAGAAGTGAAAGTTACTCAGAAGAGAAGTGTGATACAGACTCAACTAATACAGATAGTAACTTTAAACCAGATGAGATTGTTCACAAAGAGAAGCGAAGAACAAAGGGCTTGTTAGAAGAGAGACTTGTGATAAAGTCTAAATCAAAAAGTCAAGGCAAGCAATTGAAAGGGGTTGAAACAGAATTACAAGAAAGTGTCACCAAACAGGCGACCACTCCTAAACCTGATAAGGAGAAGAACACTGAAGACAGTGACTCAGATAAGCAACGAAAGTCTAAAAGTGAAGACAAACCATGTGAAGAGAGTGGCATCAAGCCCACGTTAGAGAGCGCTTCTTCCCACGCTGCTCAGAAAGACTCCAGTCACAGAGCTAAGTTATCATTAGCAAAGGAGAAATACAAGGGTGATAGAGATTCGACTTCATCCAGGCTGGAGAGAAAGCTGTCCGATGGGCACAGAAGCAGAAGCTTTAAACATAGTAGCAAGGATGTGAAGAAGAAGGAGGAAAATAAATCTGACGACAAGGATGGTAAAGAAGCTGGCAGTAACCATGAAAAGGCCAAAGGGAATAGTGTATTGGAAAAGAAATTGAGTAGGAGGTTGTGTGAAACTCGAAGAGGAAGTTCATCACAAGAAGTGACCAAAGGAGACGAGAAGTTAACGGCCAACAGCTTGGGCACTTCGGGAATTTCCTCTCTTCAAAGATCGAAAAAAAGTGGTGATGCCACATTGGTCCTTGAACAAGAACCAATGGAAATTGATTCTGAGCCAGCCATTGAAAACGTATGTGTAGCATCTAAAACCCAGGCCAGCAGCAATAATAGTTCTCAGCAAGATAACGACTCTGAAAATGTTACGAAACAAAAAACGACTTCCACACTTCTAAAGGAAGAATTACGAGCCGCCGTGGTAGATTCCAGAACAGCAACCCCAGGCTGTAAGTCAGGACGCGGAATGGTGGTTGGTCATTCTGAAAAGCACGCCGGCCACAAAAGCAGCCTGACCAAGAAAGCCCACACCCAAAATGTGACTTCCAGACCAACACCTGAGGAGAAGGAAGCCGTCCCACAGGGAACTCAGAAAGTAAATGCAGACTGTGAACCTAGCCATAGAATGTTGCCTAGTGCCTCCTCTGATACTGATCGGATGCAAAGGAATTTGAAAAACACATCCAGAGCCACCGAGGAGCCTGTGACTCGAGGTGCTACCCTTGAACATTCCACTCATTTAGACCCCTCACCTATGACTGTTGTGCCTCACACATCAGATGTCATCCCTTTGGCTGACAAACAGACTGTTTTAGAAAGTGGGGCAGCTGGCAGCTCACTTCTGGAGCAGTCTGCTGGCTCTAATCAAAGTTTGACTGTTGGGGACGCAGGAGTCCGTAGGACACGTGACAGCAAAGAAGCTGGTGAGGGTTCTGCAGTAGACACGCCAACAAAAGCGAGCACAGACCGCGTAAGACACATTCCAGAAGGTCCTCAGGCCGTGTCAGTGCACAGCAAACCAGGAAGGGTGCACAGACATCATGGCAGCAAGTTAATAGACATGGCCGGAGAAAATGCAAATGTTAGCAAAGAGGTGGGCGTAGCAGGCGTGGCCAAGAAAGAAACTGATGTCACTACAGAGCCCAGTGTAAAGAAGAGCATGAGAGCTACGGTTGATAACAGCCGAAAGGATACCATTGCCATGGATCATGTGGTCGGGATAAATAGAGAAAGAGCTGCCCGAAGTCTGGAAGTGAGAGAAACAGTAAGCGTCAACAGAAGCCCGAGTGAAATGGACAAGCAGCGCATGGACGGTGAGGGAAGGAGTATGAACAGTGAAGTAGGCACCAGTGCTGAAGAAGGTGGTCCATCCGCTGTTTCGCACCCAAGAAATACGACAGCTGAGAGTGTGACCGCTGGGTCTGAGAGAGCAGGACAGACTTTCATGGCCACTAGTACTGAAGGGAAGAGCACAGCGGTTCCCTTAAACTCAGTGAAGGCGGCGGGGGCTGCCACAACTACCTCTTCAGAAACAGGAGCGCGCCAGCTGGCTTTGCCTTGCATGAGCATTGAGGCCGACGAAGGTCTCACCACAGGTGCAGGCCCCAGGGACACTCCTCTGCACGCAGGGGCAGAACCGAGCGAGTGCACCGTGTTTGCAGCAGCTGAAGAAAGTGGGGGCGTCGTCACGGAGGGGTCTGCTGAGAGCGAAACTTCCCTCACCAGCACCAAGGGAGGGGAAAGTGGAGCATGTTCCACGGCTGGATCGAAAGACAGAACCGCAGACCCAGTGACTGCTCGCACGCAGGCACCTGAGCAGACTGTGAATAGCATTGGAGCAGAAGAAAAAGATGATGCAGTAACCAGTGCTGGCTCAGAAACAAAATGTGAGGGTTCTTCAGGTAGAGACTCAGAAATGGTTGAAGGAGCGGTTACGTTTATCAGTGAAGTTGAAAGCGATGGAGCGGTAACAAGTGCTGGAACAGAAATAAGAGAGGGACCCTTAAGCAGTGAAGAGGTAGATGAATTCCAGAAAATGACGACAAGACTGGGCCCAAAAAAAGACACGGAGGGTACTGTGACATGCACTGTTGCAGAAGGAGGAAGGGATAACTTTGTCATCTGCTCAGTAACGGGCGCCGGGCCACCGGAGGAGCGCATGGTCACAGGTGCAGGCGTGGTCCTGGCAGGTAACGATGGGCCACCAGGAGCAAGTCCCAGCCAAGAAGGAGACGGTTTCGTGAATGACGGGGCAGAGGGGGAAAGTGCAGTCACCAGCACGGGGATCACAGAGGAAGACGGAGAGGGGCCAGCAAGCTGCATGGGTTCTGAAGGCGGCGGTGGCAGCGGCGGCGGCAGCGAGCGCTTTGCTGTAAGTTCTGAATCTGAAGAGAATGGGGAGAATGCAATGGACAGTACAGTAGCCACAGAAGCCACGACTACCCCTTCCGTCACCGCCACGGGTCCTTGTGACGACGAAGGCATCGTAACGAGCACAGGTGCCAAGGAGGAGGAGGACGAAGGCGAGGGTGTTGTAACTAGTACCGGCAGAGGAAATGAGATTGGGCACGCCTCCACTTGCACAGATGTAGAAGAAAGTGAAGGTGCGTTGATCTGTGGCAGTGCCCAAGGGGACAGTCAGATGGGCACCGCAGCAGAGCACGTGGAAGCAGAGGCAGGTTTGGCCATTGTAAATGCCAATGAAAGTAATGTTGACAGCAGGGCTGGTGCCGAGAAGGGAATTAAAGACACAGAGATCTGCTCCAGCGCTAAAGGGATCGTAGAAAGCAGCGTGACCAGTGCCATTTCAGGCAAGAGTGAAGGGGCGCCCATTCCTGAAGGTTGTGAGGGTCCAATGACAAGTGCAGCTTCAGCTCAAAGCAACAGTCAGCTCACCAGGAAGGAAAAAGTGGAAGACGCCACCATTTCCACTGGGACGGTGGGGGGCAGTTATGAGGCCCTCATATCCGGTGCAGTCCCCAAAAGTGAAGTGGACCGCCTGTCCAGTGAAAAAGAAGATGAGGGTGTCATAACCTCAGGGAAGACTGAAGAGTGTGCTGGTCTCATGGCTGCGACAGCCGGAAGTGGCACTGCCGGCCAGGATGCTTTCACCGGGGGTAAAAGTCACAGGCAAGGCTTGATGATTTCCACCAGTACAAGTAATGGTTACGCCAGGCTGCTGAGCTTGACTGCCAGTGTGGAAGGGGGCCACTCTAGTGCTCTGAGAACTGGAGAAAGTGGGGACGATGGCCGTGTCAACGTGGACGAGTTTGAGGCCCCCATGCCCAGTGCTGTTTTGGGAGATGCGGGGCAGCCCGCTGCTGCTAGAAATGAGGAGAAAGACGAGTGCGCCATGATTTCCACCAGCCTTGGGGAGGAGTTTGAAGTGCCCATATCTAGTGCGAGTACCACCAAATCTGCCGAAAGTCAGCTGCCAGTAGCAACAGTTGAAGAAAGAGAACAAGGTCCGAACTTGGAAAGCACCGAGGACTTTGAGGCACCCACGCCCAGCGCACCCACTGAAGTGGAAAGTCCTCTTGCCTCGACCAGCAAGGACGAGAAAGACGAATGCGCTCTCATTTCCACGAGCATAGCCGAAGAATGCGAGGCCTCCATCTCGGGGGCAGCAGTGCAGAGGGGGAGCGAGCACTCTGCCACCATCGTGGAAGAAAGGGACAGCAGCGCCATCATCTCAACCAGCTCAGTGGAGGACTGTGAGGGCCCCGTGTCCAGTGCAGCCCCTCGGGGGGGTGCCCTTGCCGACGAAACCAGCGACGCAGCCATGATCTCCACGAGTACCTCCTCCGAGGGACGGGAAGCCATCATGGTTGAGGGTCAGCCCATGACCGTGCACATGGAGGACCCAGGCGACACTGCTGTCATCTCCACCAGCACAGCTGAGTGCGGGCTGTTGGCTGCCAGCCAGGACAGACAGGAAGAGAACCGAATCAGGGCCCATGCCCCAGAAGGGCACACTGACCGGCCAGCCAAGGTGAGCAAGCGCGCTGTTCCAACGCCCAGCCGGTGTTCCAGGCCCGTCCCAGGAGGAAAGGCGATGGGCCCTGGTGTGGCAGGAAGCCCCGAGGAAAGGGAAGAAAAGGTGCCTACCCAGGTGCTCTCTGCAGGGCATGCTGGAGAGAAAGATGGACACAGCCAGGACAGCTCTGGCAAAGTACCACTTGCAGACAGAGGGCAATGCACGAACATGAGCCTCGTGAACTTAGGAGAAAAGGGTGGACTGGTGAACTCTGTTCAGAAAGCCGATGATGGCGCTGAGGTGGGGATGGCATCAAGTAGCCCCACTGCCTGTTGTTGGGCCAGGAAGGACTTAGAGCTGAGTGCTCACTCCCTCCTCAGTCTGCAAGGAGTAGCGGCAGCATCCTGGCAGACGGCCACGGACTCCCCTGTCAGCATTCGCTGTTCGGCAGCAGGAACTACGGTTGCTAACAAAGCCGACCTGCTGGATACCCGGGACACTGCTGTAGCTGAGGCCTACTTGAGAAACGTCCGCACTGAATGTATCAATGGCCAGGAGTCTGAAATTACTCCTTCCAACTCCACAGTCCTCCCCACTGCCAATGACAGCGCGCTGTCGGTCCCAGCATGTGAGCAGGGCTTGAGCCTGAAGCATGGGCCTCATGGCAGGTGGCCTGCGGCTGGCGTGACAAGACCGTTGCCGCAGGAGGTACGCCTGTTGCCGACCCCTGTTTCTTCTGATGGAACTGCATGTGGAATAGGTGAGGATCTGTTTCTAATGTCACTTGTAGATTTTCCCAGCAGCACATACAGCATGTGCACAAAGCAGTCTTCCCGAATGGTGGGTTGCTTTCACCCCAATGTCACGGTAAGTATTCTCCTTGTCTCGTCACATCACCTGTGAGCTCTTATTAACTGGAAGGTCAAGCTGCTCTTCCACACACTCACGGTTAAAAATGGCAAGTAGTAGATTTACTGCTCAGGTGTGAGAAGCAGAAGGAGTAGAGCAGGTACCCTGGCCCCACGGGATCACCGGGACCCCCACACCGCTTATCTCAGTGAAGCTCTGGGGGAAGATTAGTTTGTGTCCCCCTCTTTTCACAAATGAGGAATTAGATTTAGAGAGTTCAGCTAACTGGCATGGCACTTGGTGTCTCTTGGAAACAAACTTCCGAGCTTGTGTTTTCTGTTCAATAAAATGGGGAGACTAGACAAAAACCGCCCTCTTTCCAGCCCTTATCTGGCATTAAAGATTGGAGTCTGCATCTTCAGTCTGGTGGCTACTTCTAATCCAGAGAGCATTTTAATGGTTGTTGAAGTTCACTCCTGACCAATTGCGCAAGGTGCACGACTGTCGAACATCTAGTGTCTGAGCTCAGTCCTTCCTTGTACCTCCAGCTTCAGATCTCTTGGGCCCTGGAACGGTACAAAGCCCTGGGTGTGCAGAGACAAGCTAACCTGACCAGCAGGAGACGTTCCCTCCAGCCAGGGTTTCACAGGGCACCGAGTCTGCAGTGTATGAGCGCTACTAAGGTGTGAAACACAGGATGTTGGACAAACCTAGGGAGGGTCAGGGAACTTGACCTCAGTTCTGCTGTGGCTTTATAAACGGTGGCATCCTGGACTTTGAAACGGGAACATACCCTCGATAGCATTTAGTACAGCTCCAGGAAGCTAAGGACAATAGATTCAGTCTTGTTTAATACAGGGACTTTCTGGGTTCTTCCAGTGGTTTGGCCCTCAGCTGCTAACTTAAAGGTTGAATGTAAATTCACCCAGACATGCCTCGGAAGAGAGGCCTGGCAATTTATTTTCAAAAACTCATCCATTGAAAACCCTGTGGAGTACAGTTCTACTCTGAAACTCATGGGTCACCGTGAGTCACAACTGACTCAGTGCACCTACTTGGACTTTGGTTGTTAGAACAGCTCAGACAGGAAACTTGTTGTTAACTGCTATTAGGTCAGTTCCGACATAGTCACCCTGTAAAGGGTTTCTGAGGAAGAGTTGATGAATTTGAACCACCGAGCTGATAGTTAACACCAACCTTCTGGTCCAGTGCATATCCCACACCATCACACCAAGACTCCAAATGTTGGAATGGTGGTGGTGGTTGTGTGCCATCGAGTCGATTCCAACCCATAGCGACCCTGTACAGGATTTCCAAGGCTGTAAATCTTTACAGGAGCAGAAAGCCTCATCTTTCTCCCACGGAGCAGCTGGTAGTTTCGAACTGCTGACCTTAATGGTTTGCAGCCTGATTCATAACCACTACGCTACCAGAGCTCCTAATGGTAGAGTAGGAAATTTTTTAATTTTCTGTTAAATTCCGCCTGAGCTAAATTACCCTGGAACTTTTTATGACTCAGTCATTTCTACAGGCTGTTGTCTTTCTCCCCGCCCACCTCATTTGTTTTGGTTGTTATTTATTTGTACTCTGAGAGGAGCAAAGCATGCTAAGAAATTGGCTTTTAGTAAGGAAAGGCCTGCTGCTTCTTGGTGGGGGGCTTGCTCAGAAGAGGGAGAGTAGCTGGCAGGAGGGCGAGGGAGAAAGGAAGAGGCAGTACTGAGGCAGAGTCCAGACTCCGCTTCCGTTTTGTCCGCCTCCTGGTTGTGTAACTCCATCTTCACTCGTGCTGCCTCCTTGTGAAGCAAGTGAGGAGAGTCTGTTCCCCTCAGCTTCTTTACTGAGACTCTCCCTTAGTGACCGCAAAGGCCAGCTTTGAGAGGAAAACTCAGTACCCACCACTGGAGATAGAGACTTGGAAACAAGTGCGGCTTCCTCGTTCTTTCTGAGCTGCCATCTTCCTGCACTGCCTCTCAGCCAGAAACCTCTTCACACCACATCCTCCTCTTCGTTCTTTTTGACTGACAGCCAAACAGGACCACAGAGAATGGGGACGTGGCGTGCCCGACAGCGGGCCTTGGTCTTTTGATGCAGGCTGTGTTGTGCAACTGAAGTCTTCAACTGGATTAATGGTTTGTATTTTATTAGGCAATGAAGAGTCCCCACCACATGATTTGGCAGGATTGGAACTGAAAGTCAACTTGAAAACTGAGGTATGGCTGATAATTCAGTTATGCTGAACTGTAAACGGTGTAGGTCACCATGTTGCCATCTACACATATGCATGCTTAAGCAGCCTGTAGCTCTTGTTCTCATTGTACTTTAGACATCCCATGTTGTCGTAAGTGCCGTTGAGTCGGTTCCAATTCAGAGCGACCCTGTACAGGCGTTCCCAGGCTGTACATCTTGACGGGAGCAGAAAGCCTCCTCATTCTCTCCTGGAGCCGCTGGTGGGTTTGAAGTGTACCTTGTGATTACCAGTCCAGTGCTTACCCTACAACACCACCAGTGTGCTGATCACCACGCAGGCAGGGGAAAGCTAAGAACTTCGGGAATGAAGTCAATAATGCTATCGTCCTTCCCAGTTACTATGCTGGGGACCTCGAAGTCACACTCCCTTCTCTTCTGTCATCCATCCTTCAATTATTGCCAAGTCTTCTAGGTCCATTTCCAGAACAGAGCTCCAGGTCCTCCCTCCCACTCAGCTTCTACTGCCCCAGCCCTGTTCTAAGCCACAACTTCAGTAGCTGCCCCACTGGACTTGAATTTCCACTCCAGCCTCCTCCCACCAGCAGGGAGGGTATACTTCAGAAACATAAATGAGGTCAAGTCTTTGCTGCGCTGAAGTTCCCAGAAGCTCCCCGTGGCATGTTGGGAGCATGGTGGCTCTATAGCATAATCATTGGACTGTGAACCACACATTCACTGGTGGAGTGCCCACCAGCCACTCCAAGGGTAGAAAGAGCAAGGCTTTCTGCTCCCCCAAATAATTCGTAGCTTCAGAAGCCCTGTACAGGGTTGCTGTCAGTCGGTACTGACTCATTGGCACTTAACAACAGCAACAACATCCCATGACCTGTGGAATACAATCAAGGGTTTTCTCCATGTACAGTGTAGTCTCCATGCCCCTTTCCACCCTCATGGGGAGCACCCTCAGAGTATTTGACAAGATAGTATTCACTGGGCTGGGAGCAGTGCCAGAGACACAACAGAGGGGCAACGGCATGTCACGGGATGGCTTGCCAAGGAAGACGGTTGAGTTGGATTTTGAAAGTAGGTTACGAGTCTACCAGAGGAGAATGAAGAATAAGGAACCTTCCTAGTGAAGGGAGCCCAGAGGGGACAGGCCCCAGTGTCCTCTGTGGCCAGACTGAAGCACCTTGTTCTGGGCTGCACTGGGCTTTCACTTTGAGAGCAGCAGGAGAGCTATTGATGGGCAGGGTCTGAGGTTCCATTGACTCCTCTTTGTGTTAGTTTTTAAAGGCTAGCATGTGTTCGTTTTAAACTGTGCACACACATAAAAGTGTGCTGTTAATGCTACTACAAGATGTTGATTTTGGTTTGCTTGTTGAATACACTTGTGAGTCTTGCCTTCCTGTTGTGAAAGTCTCACTCACTTGACATGTCTTGTGCTTTGTACTGTTTAGACCCGTGTGCCTTCAGAGGAGAAGGCGGAAATTGTAGCGCCTCCAGAAAGTCCCTGTGTGGAAAAACCAAGCGAAATAGGTAAGTTCCTTTGAGCAGTTGCTGAGATGGTGGTCTTGCACGTGTCTTAGTGGTGGTTTAGCGGTAGGATTCTCCCCTCGCATGAGGCGGTCCCAGGATTGGTTCTCAGGCAGTACGTTTCATGCATAACCTCCACCCTGTCTGTGGAGGCGTTTGTAGTGCAGTGATGGTGACTAGCCTTCAGCAGAGCTTCCAGACAAAGATGGGGTGGGAAGAAAGGCCCGAGGCTCTGCTTGTGAAAGGCAGCCACATTCCATTCCACGGTCGATCCTGAGGATGGTGTAGTGCCAGACAGCATGGGGTCTCCGCCAGCAACCTTCACCTTAAAACACCAACAGGCTATGGGAATTTCTCTTTCACTTTTTAAAATAGGTTAAAGAAAATGCTATTACAATCTTAACATTTTTTTCTCATTAAATGTAAGTATCACTCTATGTAATAGTTAAAGTTGATGTCGAAGTTTTAAAGAACTTTGTAGGAGCAAAATCTTGCTCTGTCCATCCCCTCCCCCATATCAATAAAACCATGTTTTCCAATGCCCTTCCAGATGCTATTGTTGATAGGGTGTTGTTAGGTGCCATGAAGGTGGTTCCACTCATAGCAGCCCTGTGCACACCAGAACAAAACAGTGCCCCTGCACCATCCTCATAATCTTCCCCTTGTTTGAGCTCATTGTTGCAGACACTGGGTCATTCCATTTCATGAAGAAGCTTCCTCTTTTTCACTGGTTCCATGGTAGCGTAGTGGTTACGAATCAGACAACCTCAGAAACCCTGTACAGGGTTACTATGAGTCGGAACCGACTCCACGGAACATAACCACCACCACCATACCAAACATGGAACTCCCTGGTGTGGCGCCATGAGTTAATGCACAGGACTGCTAGGTCAGTTTGAACTACACAGTCAGCGGTTCAAGCTCACCAGCTGCTCCTTGGAAACCCTATACAGGGTTGCTGTGGGTCAGAACCGACTCAACAGCACTTCACAACAACGACATACCAAGCCTGGTATTCTGCAGGGACTGGTCCCTCCTGATAACATGTCCAAAATACGTGAAGTCGAGTCTCACAGCCCTCGCCTTTAAGGAGCATTCTAGTTGTACATCGTCCAAGACGTTTGTTTTTCTGGCGATCCATTGTATATTCAGTTTGCTTTGGTGGTGGGGGTGTGCCGTGGAGTCAGTTCTGACTCACAGTGACCCTGCAAAGGTCTGTAAATCTTTACAGGAGCAGAAAGCCTCCTCTTTCTCCCACAGAACAGCTGGTAGTTTCGAACTGCTGACCTTGAAATTAGCACCCCAACTCGTAACCATTACGCTACCAAAGCTCTTTTCAGTTTGCTTTGCCGAAATCGTAATTCCCATGCGTCAGTTCTTCAGCCTTTTTTATTCATTATCTGGCTTTCGCATGCGTATGTTGTTTTTAAGTGCCATCACACGTCAGTTCTGACTCATGGTGACCCTGTGTACAACAGAAGGTAACAACACTGCCCAGTCCTGCGTCCACCTCACAGTCTTGGCTGTGTTTGAGCTCATTGCTGCAACCACTGGGCTGGTCCATTTCGAGGGTCTTTTTTTTTTTTTTTTGCTGACCTTCGACTTTACCAAGCGTGATGTCCTTCCTTCTCCAGGGACTAGTCCCTCCTGATCACATATCCAAAGTTGATATGAGACAAAGTTTGTCTCAACATCAGACAAAGTCTCGCCAACCTCACTTCTTAGACTCATTCTGACTATACTTTTTCCAAAACAGATATGCTTTGGGGTTGTTTTGGTAATCTGTGGTATAATCCGCATTCTTCAGTACCGCAATTCAGAGGCGTCAGTTCTCCTGGGCTCTTCCTTCGTCATTGCTTAGCATCCACAGATATATGAGGCAATTTTAAATACCATGGCTTAGGTCAGCTGCACCTTAGTCCTAAAAGCAACATCTGTGCTCTTTAACACTTTAAAGATGTCTTTTGCAGCAGATCTACCCAGTGCATTATATTATTTGATTTCTTATCTGCTGCTTCCATGACCATTGGTTGTAGATCCAAGTAAAATGAAATCCTTCACAAATTAAATATTTCCTACATTTATCTGCTGCACAAGACCATTTTAAAATGTTGAAGAGCAAAGGTGTCAGCTTGAGGACTAAGGTGCACCTGACCCAAGCCATGGTATTTTCAGTAACCTGTTATGCATGTGAAAGCTGGACAGTGAATAAGGAAGACTGTAGAAGAATTGATGCTTTTGAGTTATGGTGTTGGAGGAGAATATTGAAAGTCCCATGGACTGCCCATAGAACCAACAGATCTGTGTTGGAAGAAGTGCAGCCAGAGTGCTCCTTGGAGGCCAAGTTGGCCAAACATCGTCTCTCCTACTTTGGACATATTGTCAGGAGGGACCAGTCACTGGAGAAGGATATCATGTTTGGTAAGGTGGAGGGTCAGAGAAAAAGAGAAAGACCCCTAGCGAGACGGATTGGCAAAGTGGCAGCATCAATGGGCACAAGCTTGGCAACGATTGTGAGGTTGGCCCAGGACCGGGCAGTGTTTCATTCTGTTGTGCATTGGGTCGCCTCTTGCATTCTTGGGAAAGATACAGAGAGGGGGACCTCTCTGGGACAATACCTAGTCTTGTCAGCTCATCAGCTCTGCTCAGTAAATGAGCCTCCTGATAACCTTTAGTAAGTTAGGTACTTGCGAGTACCAGGGAAATCAAGCTGAGACATCCCTCACCCCACATGGATGTTCACATGAGTAATGTACGATAATGAAGACACACATGTGTCTCCCGAGGTCAGCATTGTTAAACAAGAGCTCAGGGAAGGCCGGCCTGGGTTTCACCCCGTTCATTATGAAATGTAATGTCTTAAAAGCTCTGGTGGTGCAATGATTAAGCACTTGGTTGCGAACTGAAAAGTTGGTAGTTTGAACACGCCGGTGGCTCTGCGTGAGAGAAATGTGACAATCTGTTGTCATAAAGATGTCAGCCTGGAAAGCCCTTGGTGCAGCACTAGTCTGTAGTGTGTGGGGTCACCACGGTTTGCAGGGGACTTGGCAGCAATGGGTTTGGTTTGTGGATTTGAGGTCATCAAGATCAAAAGCAGGGCACTGGATGGAGGTGGGGGTCATTCAAATGCCATGAGCACTGTGTATAAGTGTATAACTCCTCATCTGTGACTGTCTGGTGGGAGGGCGGGGCACCTTCCTCAAGAAAATAATCTGAAAGTGAGCCTGCAGCATATGTAACCTCCAAAGCCTTGTAGAAGACCACGCCCAGACCTGGTAAGCCACTCATGCCATGCTAAGCCTGAGGATAACCCACCTGTCCAACACACCAACAGCTAGGTTACGGAAAGTTTGTGTCTGTTTGCAAATAATTACCACTGCACTGGTTGATTGTCCAAAAGGTAACATTTTTGCATTTTTAAATCCTTTGTTCCAACATTGTATTTCAAATTGCTTTACTGTGTTTAGAATAACAGCTCAATAAGAGACCTACTTACGTAAAAGGAAGTTGTTTGAAAGAAAAATGTTTCTTCTGTCATTGTTGAGTAGAAGCAGTGGACTTTGTACTTGAAGTTTCCAAGGAATATAAACAGACCATTGCTGTTTGAGGGGATAGGGTCTAGCTTTCTCTTTGATGGCGTGATTTTTAAATGAACCAGTGCTACTCTGCAACTTAACAGACCTTCCACCTTTTCTATAACTTTCAGATCATAGTTAAGTCACTGGAGTGACTTATTGGACCACTACCATTCTTTACAGAGTCCTGGGGTGGCCCTGTGGGATAATGCACTGGTCAAAAGGTCAGTTTGAACCGCAAGGTTGGCGGGCGGCTCAAATTCACCAGCCACTCCTCATAAACCCTATATACAGGGTCACTAATGAGTCGGAACCGACTTGATGGCACGTAACAGGAACAACAACTATTCTTTATGAGGATCCCTGGTGGCACAGTGGTTAAGTACTCAGCCTCTAACCAGGACCTTGACAGTTTCAGTCCACCCTAGGGGGTAGTTTAGTTTGCTCTGTAGCGTCTGGCTGAGTCAGAATCAAAGATAGTGCGTTGAATTTTGGTGCACATTACTGTAAAATTGCAGGCAATGTTACTTCGTATTGTTTCTCTGTTACAGTCTGGCAGAACGCAGATAAATTGTAGAAAATAATTGGTCAGAATTTTACAGTACACAAAGGCAACTGGGCCATTCTCTAACCTCGGCCTACTTACTGGCCTACTTCACTGCAAATTTTAACTTTGTTTCACTGGAGTCCAGAAACAATAATAAATGTCCCTATTTCTCTCTCCTTTTGTTTAAACAGTTGAACTACCGAGGGAGTCTTCTTTGGTGAATGAATCCCTAAATGTAAGGCTGCTCTATTGGTTTTGGTTTTGTTGTTGTCTTTGTTTGTGTTTGTTGTTGAGAACAATGGGGTGGGACATGTGGGTGGCTGGAATGTCTGTTTCTTCAGGAGACAGAAGGGCAACAAGCAGCCACATTCTTCCCAGTGCCCCCAGAGATGCTGGGGGAGCTTTGCTCATTGTCAGAGGATTCCCCTCCCTGCAGCCAGACACTTGGGTAGTTCTAGTAGAAACTTTACACCCGGGGGCTTCAGAAAGTTCCTGGGGAAATTCCATTATCTTAACTGTTTACTATCAGTTGTGTTTTCAGAGCAGATCATCAGTTTTGCATTCAACAAGTCAGTTACTTTGCGTCATTACAGTGACTGCAATCCTCTGTTCACTTTGACGCATACATTCCTCCCTTTGTCTCCCAGTACCTTCATCAGTTCTCTGCCAAACTCTCTGGTTGTGTATTGCCTGCCCTGTCACCCACATTAACGTGTCTACCCTCTAGCGTAGTGGTTACGAATCGGGCTGTGAACCACAAGGGCAGCAGTTCGAAACTACCAGCTGTTCCGCGGGAGAAAGATGAGGCTTTCTGCACCGGTAAAGTTTTACAGCCTCGGAAACCCTGTACAAGGTCGCTATGAGTCGGAACCGACTCCACGGCACATAACCACTACTCCCTCCCATAACTATCACAGACTGTTTCTTTTGACAAAAAACCTTTTCTTTTTGCAACTATTGGTGTCATACAGTATTTCTCCTTTGGTGATTGGCTAATTTCACTTAGCATAATGTCCCACCAGGTTCAACCATGTCGTAAGGTATTTCACATAATTCATCCTATTCTTCCACCATTTTGTAGTATTCCGTTGTGTGAATGCACCAAAGTTGGTTTAACCATTCTTCTGCTGATGGGCATGTAGACTGTCTCCATCTTTTTGATCTACTGACTTTTTAAAGCCCTCTTGCACACAGTTTGCTGAATAAGGAGGAGAGGTCCCACTAGGTGCAATTCTGTTTTACATTGCAACATGTAAAAAGTTGTAAATGCAGCCAAAATCCACAGAGCTCCTTCCCCTGTGCCCCCTCATCTCTTTTCCCGTCCCATCACACCGCTGTCTTTTCCATCTAAGGAAACTGGGTCCAGGTAGGCTGCTGGAATCCAGTGGTGGTGCTCTGGGGTACTCGTCGGGGGGTGCAAACCCATCCAGAGATGCCTCAGAAGAAAGACTGGTTGGTGCGCTGATTCTGAAAAGTCACAGCCTCAGAAACCCTGGGGGCAACCAACAGCCACAGAATCGTCTTGAGACTTTCCCCACAGTGAAAAATCAAGTGGATAGACTTTGATTTGCACCAAACAGGAAATGCATAGCAAATTCGTGAAGGATTCTTGGATATGAAGGAGATTCATAGAATTCATAGAACATTTATCTCTGTTATTTCCTGCTCTTTATCCATAATGATTTTAAAGACAAGAAGAGTAAGTGCAGTGCTGTGGCCACCAGAACTTTCTGGAAAGGAGTATGCCCTTGAACCCAATACTCCTGCTCCTTTGGGCATTTGCTCAAGCAGGCAGCCAGATTGTGGAAGTTACCTTCCTGTTTGTCCCCTGCTTTCCAAGTTTTTCTTGATAATTTTCATAAATAATGTTTTATATTATATATTTAGGTCAAAAATTCAGAGTCAAGAACAAATGAAGAAATTCATAGCAAATCTTGTAACAAAGAAGGTAAGTTAATGAATTTCAGAGTCATCATTTCAATATTGATTGTCATTTCCATTTGCTGAGTGCCTCGGAGACTTTCATCTAATTCACTTGATGTGGTCAGGTGAGCGTTGACAGCATCACACCGCTCAGGTTCAGGAAGCTCGGGCTCCAAGAGCTTACGCCCATGCAGCCTAGACTTGATGTGGGTTGCCTTAAACAGGGGATCCCTGGGTGCTATAAACAGTAAATGTCCTCAGCTGCCTGAAAGCTGGAGGGCTGAAGTCCACGCAGAGGTCACTTGGAAAAAAGGCCTGGAAATCTATTTCCAGAAAATCAGCCTTGAAAGATCCTGTGGAGCACAGTTCTACTCCTGACACACTTGGAGTCACTATGGCCGAATCAGTTGATGGCTGCTGGGGGCTTTTCATTTGTCTGCCCTAAAATGACTCAATCCAATTGTCTGATCTCACCTTACAGAACCTCAATGTCCCTGTCACGCCATATTCCAGTCAGAGTAAAGGCAGAGATCATTGTAAACACCCAACACAGTGTGCCTGTTACTGCACTTCTGTTTGTCATACAACGGGGTTTCGCAAAGTTCGTGGAGAAATGGAATTTTAAAATATCTTAGGAATATTTTTCTAAATAGGAATTTTCCTGTGAACTTTTTGAAGCCTCGTCATAATACAATTTTGTATATTTGCTTCATATTTTTTTAATGTTACAAATACAGTGGAATTCAACTACACCCCCCCAGTCTCTTTCCCCTCCATCCCACTCCACTGAGGACACTAGTAGGCATTTGCTTCATTTTTCCATAAACAACCTGTGGCTTCCTGGTATGTGCTTTAGGTAAACGCTGCCACACTTAAACCCTCTTCTCTTCAGTGTTTCACGCAGCATTAAGCTTTGAGATTTGCCCTTGTTCATATGTATAGCGCTTGTTGCTTCATTTCCATTGCCATTTGGTCTTCCATGGTGTGAATATCCCACAGTTAATTTTTGCTGCTTTTGTCAGTGAGCATTTAGATATTTTGCAACTCTTCCAAACTACACAGAGTGGTTGTCACGTGGGATCTTGTTCTGTTTCCCAAGGCCTGCGTCCTGTGTTTGTGTCTTGAGTCTCTGGGTTAATGAACACCTCTTCATCTTTTTTGACTGTCCCATTTGTCACTCTACACCTCACCCTTAGGTGGCGGTGTCAGAGTGTAAGTGTTTGCTAATCTGATGTCTCAGCCGTGATGCCTCTCTGTGTTCCCTGGGCACTTCTTACTCCTGTGTAGCTGCATGAGCAAGGCGGGAAGTGACTTTTAACATCGGGTCTGTAGAGTCTGCATTGTGACCCCATGCATGTGACTTGTCCTCTTGAGCCCTGTTAACTTGTATCAAAGCATAGAAATGGTGAGCTGTTCTATGGTGAAACACCTGAATGCATCCTGCAAGCATTCTGACAAGACCTTGTTCGCTCTAACTGGAAGGCCTGGTGCCTAGCAGGTGCTCAGTGAAAGTATCAGTTCAGGTCCCTTCCTTCCCTGCCTGCTCCCCGCAGAGAATGTATCTCAATGATTAAGTCCTTCAGTGTTTCCATTTCCTTTTTCCATTTATTACAGAAATTTCCAGTGGGAAAAAAGACAACACAGAAGCTGTGCGAGGTCACAGTGCTGAAGCAAATTCTAAAGAGGTGCGTTTTCATAATGAACTCAAGTATTTCGAGTTTCATACACAATATTTTCACTTGTGCCTAAAGAAAGACTTGCTTGCCTAACGCAAAGTAAACATTTTTGTAAATGTTTATTCAATGACTAAGTGAAAAAGAATGGTTAATAACAACAACAACAACAAAGAATGGTTAATAACAACAACATTTCCCTTTAGTTGTTGCTGTTAGGTGCCTTTTTGAGTTGGTTCCTCTGTACAACCCAACAAAACACTGCCTGGTCCTGTGCCATGCCCATAGTTAATTTCATCTCTGAGCCCATTGTTGTTGACACTGTGTCGATTGTTGTTGTTAAGTGCCGTCAAATCAGTTTTGACTCACTGAGACCCTGTAGAGAGTTTCTGAGGAGCAACTAGTGAGTTTGAACCACCAGCCTCGCAGTTCAAACCAACCCTGTGGTCCAGGGCTTTATCCTATAGCGCCACACCAGGACGCAGCAGTATGTAATTGTACTAATTTTTTGGGTTCCTATTATGGAGTGGCCTCACAATTTTTTTCTTTAACATGTCTATGTTATACCATTAAATTTTTTTCGTAAGCACCATTACTTATTGGGCTCCTAAAAGGAGAAAAACACTGCCATCTACATTACGGCAGGCCATCCATTGTAAGACATAGTCATGACTTCAGAGCTATTAATATGAAAAAGTATATATTTTTTAAAACATGGTGTAGAATTACTGAAACACAACGTATAGCCAAAAATAATGTGCCTATTTCGTATGGATTTACATTTAAATCCAAAGAAACTACTCAAGCTTTAAATATGAATTAAATCCAAATCTAGAAACCAAAAGTGTATTTATTACTTTAGATTCAATTCTTTAAAACTGCATGTGTAAATAAGTTCTTCCCCATGACTAGAATCTAATGTGTCACCAGTTCAGTCGACTTGGGTCCAGATTCCGTTGCCTTTAATACAATCATTCTTAATTCTAGGTTGAAGTTTCAGTCCAAGAGGAAGAGAGACCTATGGGTAGAAGAAAACAAAAGAAGCACTATCACTCTTCAGATGATGACCTGGGTATTTGTTACACATGAGCTCCTGTTTCGTTCTGGTTGTTGTTCAGTGCCATTGAGTTGGTTCCGACTCATAGCAACCCTGTATAGTGTTTCCAAGGAGCGACTAGTGAGTTTGAACCGCCAACCTTGCAGTTCAAATGACCTGGTGGTCCCGTGCTTATTCTACAGCCTCACACCTGGACTCCTGCTCCTATTTTAAGTATCTTTAAAACCATATTCTGTTCACACCCAAAATTGTAGGCCAACAACCTAGAGAATTCTTGAGGGTCATAATTGTTAACTTGGCAAGGACAACTTGGTTTCCAAACTGGCTTGACACCTTTAGAGTCCTTTCTGGGCCTTGATCTAGACACTTTATTGCTCTCCACAGATATTCTAACCCTTGAAACTTCACACAAACAGAGGCTGCCTCTGTCATTTGGACCTTGGACCCACTCAGGTGATGTTAAGAGTCGTCAAGTCTTTTCTGACTCATAGCAACCCTGTATGAGGTTTCTGAGGAGCAGCTGACAAATTTGAACCACCAGCCTTGTGGTTCAAGCAGCCTTGAAATCGAGCGCTTCACCTAGAATGCCACACCAGTCAGATGATAGATGAATCATATTGTTTTGGTACTTCAGGTAGATGTCCTGTAGAGGGGGTAAAGTACTTCTGTAAATGTGCTTGTAGAGCCCGTCTGTGTCCAGTAGTGCTGATTTTCTAAGAGAACTGTCTGCGATGATTGCACACATCTCTAGCTGCTTTGTCTAGGTTATTAGCCACCAGCCACATGTGCCTATTGAGCTTAGGAATGTAACTAATGTGACCGCACTGTAGGATGAGCACTGCGCTGCCAACTACACGGTCAGCAGTTCAAGCCCACCGGCCACTCCATGGGAGAGAGATAGGCCTTTCTGTTCCAGCAAAGATTTATATTTAATTGTAAAGAATTTACTTTTAAATAGCCACATGTGTCTACTGGCTGTCATATTGCACAGTGCAGAAAACTTTGTTTGCATGTTGTTGTTGTTAAGTGCTGTTCTACCCAGTTCCGACTCATGGCAACATTGTGTAGGGTTCTTGCCACACCCTGTCTGTCACTGTGTTGTACTGTGGTGGATTGTGTGTTGCTGTGATTCTGGACACTGTGCTACTAGTGGTTTAAATACCAGCAGCATACCGCATGGGGGACAGGTCTGTGTTGAGCTGCCACACTAAGACAGACTAGGAAGAAGGAGAGGCGGACGACGTCTGAATATTTAGCCACTGGAAACCGTATGAAAAGCAGCAGAACATTTCCAGGTGTTCTGCTGGAAGATTAACACACTATGAATAGCTAGCACCTGAACCTTTTCAGGTATACTGCCAGAATATGGGCACTCAAAATTCCACTAGGGAACTGCGGCCTCCTCAGAGTTGAGTTGACCCTGATGACCCAAATGTACTTGTAGTAAAGGTATCAAGACCTTCCTTTGCTGATGGGGCACAATTCAAAATAAGGAGAAACAGCTGTAAACGCCCATTAGTAATCAGAACTTGAAATGTAAAAAGTGTGAATCTGGGGAAATCGAAAGTTGTCAAAATGAAAGGGAACATGTTTGTGAGCTGAAATGGACTGGTATTGGCCATTTTGATAGTAACAGTCATAGCGTTTACCGTGACCTGAATGGCAAATTCAAGAGGAATGGCATTGCATTCATCATCAGAAACAACATTTCAAGAGCATTTCAAATCATCAAATAATATCATGCAAGTAAAATTGTTCTGAAGATAATGAAAAACGGCTACAACGAAACAGGGACCTGCCAAAGGTTCAAGCCAGATTCACACGAGGACGGGGAACAGGGAGATCATTGGTGACATCAGGGGGATCTTGTGCTTTATTGACTATGTAGAGAATTTCGATTGTGTAGATTATGACAAGCTGTAGACAACATTAAAGAGTTCTGGTAGCGTTATGGTTACAAGTCGGGCTGCTAACCTCAAGGTCAGCTGTTCCACGGGCAAAAGATGAAGCTTTTTGCTCCTGTAAAGATTTACAGCCTCGGAAATCTCGGATACCCATACAGGGTCGCTATGAGTCCAAACCAACTCCACACCACACTACCACCACCACCATAGTTAACATTGCAAAGAATGGGTGTTCTAGAATACTTGATTGTGTTCATGAGGAACCTGTACATAGACCAAGAGACAGTCATTGGAACAGAACAAGGGGAGACTAAATGGTTTAAAATCAGGATAGGTGTGCTCCAGGTGTGCTTCTTTTACCATACTTAATCTATCTGTATGCTAAAAAAAAAAAAAAAAATCTAAAACTGGATTATATGGAGAAGAGCATAGCATCAGGATTAGAGGAAGATTCGTTGTTGTTGTTGTTGTTGTTGTTGTTAAGTGCGGTAGAGTCAGTTCTCACTCGTAGCCACCATATATAGGGTTTCCAAGGAGCAGCTGGTAGGTTTGAACTGCCAACCTTGTGCTGATCCTAGAATAGCATCAGGATTGGAGGAAGACTCATTAACAACCTGCAATATGCAGATGATAGAACCTTGCTTGCTGAAAGTGAAGAGGACTTGAAATATTTACTGATGAAGATCAAAGAGCACAGTCTTCAATATGGGTTTCACCTTAATATAAAGAAAACAAAAATCCTCACCACTGGACCAATAAAGAACATAATGGTAAATGGAGAAAATACTGAAGTTGTCAAAGACTTTACTTAGCTTGGAACCACTGTCAACAGTTAGGAAAGCAGCAGGCAAGAACTCAAGTGACGTATTGCATTGGGCAGATCTGCTGCACAAGACCTCTTTAAAGTATTGAAGAGCAAAGATGTCAGCTTGAGGACTAAGGTGCTCCTGACCCAATCCATGGTGGTTGTTTTTTTTTCAGTAACCTCATCTGCATGTGAAAATTGGACAGTGAATAAGGAAGACCATAGAAGAATTGATGCTTTTGAGTTATGGTCTTGGAGGAGAATATTGAAAGTGCCATGGGCTGCCCATAGAACCAACAGATCTGTGTTGGAAGAAGTGCAGACAGAGTGCTCCTTGGAGGTCAGGATGGCCAGACTTCGTCTCTCATACTTAGAACGTGTTATCAGGAGGGACCGGTCCCTAGAGAAAAACATGCTTGGTCAAGTGGACATTCAGAGAAAAAGAAGAAAAGCTCCCCAACAAGATAAACACCATAGCAGCAGTAATGGGCTCAAACATAAAAACAATTGTGAAGATCGCACAGGACTGGGCCGCTTTTCCTTCTTTTTTGTTTAGGGTTGCTATGTGTCAGAGACAACTCGGCAGCACCTAAAGACAACAGCAACAACATAGGGCTTGCAAAGCTCTCAGTCTTCGAGAAACAGAAAGCCGCCTCTTTTTCCCATGGAGCGGCTGTTGGCTTGAATGGCTGACCTTGTGATTGACGTCCAGTTTTTATCCTCCAGAGCCACCACACGTGACACGAAGTAGACATTCAGTAAAAGCTTATTGAATGAGCGGGTGAAAAAGAATGGATATTAAAATGTTTCCCTTTTTGTTGGTGGTGGTAAGTGCTGTTGAGTCGATTCTGACTCAGAGACTCTGTATAGGGTTTCCAAGCACCAACTCGTGAGTTTGAACTGCTGACCTTGTGGTTCAAACTGACCTTGTGGTCCTTTGCTTATCCTACAGCACCACACCAAGACTTTTTTTTTTTTTTTTTCCTGGAAATTATTTTATTCGTAATCGTCTCAGAAGTCTTGTGGTCTATGTAACATTCACATCACTTTAAAATAAGAAATTTAGGTTCTCAGAGGATTTAGTACCTCCAAATAATATGATTCCAAAGCCTCATGATCTTAAGCCTCTCAGGTGGTCACTCATTCAGGAAGGTGACATCAGAACCTCTTTTGGAATGCGGTGTGTCCTTCAGCTTTTCCCATCAAACCTGCTTGTTGACATGCCAGCATTTGGGGATCCTCCCCACCCCCAGTTTTGACTCTGCTATGGTGAAAAGCCAGTGTTCAGTACTCAAACCAATGAGCTTAGAAGTTCAATGAGCAATGAACTTCTAAGTTCATTTGTAATAAATCCTGGCTGCACTGGATCACAAACCTAGAAAGGGCGTTTCAGGCTGGCTCAGACAGAACTGCATTTCAGTGTTCATTCTGTCTTCCTTCTTTGTGATTCTGTCCACACTGACCCGCAGATGACAGTCCAGAAGCTCCGGATTCCAGAAGAGACACCACACAGAGGCTAGGCTCAGACACTGACCCGCGAGATCCAAAGGTATGGTGGTTTCCCACAAATTAATTAAAAGTTTTGTTGTAACCTCATTGTATCATGCTAAATATGTGTTAATTTTTTTATGTATCTCAGCTAAGAGATCACCTTATTATTAAAGGTGTATATTTTTTAGGCTCCCCACAAAAAACAAACGTTACACTTAAGAATTCCTAAACTACAAACTTGTGTTGATATCCCTTTTAGATAAAATCATTGCTCACGTGTTTGCTCAGTCCTGTTAACTGCCTTCTTTAGGATTCTTTCCTAAAGTGTATTATGCTTCATTCCTGATACGCTTGCATCCAAATGCTGAACAGCAGGAACAGGGATTACAAGGTGAATGACAGGCCTCTCCCTGGGAGCGGATTGAGCGTGTAGGGGACTCAGACAGTGTCTGATCAGTGGTTTGAAAACTGACATGAGATGCTTCTGCAGCCAAATGTAAGGAACATAAATTTGGAGCTCTTCTGGCTGACATAGGGGGGAAACTCCCCAAACACTGTCTGCGCTCCCCCACAATACACACACACACACACACACACACACACACACACAGCACTTACCAGGCTCCATGGTGAAAACCATGAACCTAGTAGGCAAACTGGTTACTCTGGAGACTTTCATGAATTTTCCTAATGGTGTGACCGTGCAGCCTCTAAACCAGTGGGAAGAAAGAGTAGAACTTTCTCTGACCTAAAGTTAAAGAAAGATACACTACTCTGTGGTGTGGTGCTCTGAGGTAAGCACTAACCAAGGTCGGTTTGAACCGCACAGTGGCTCCTTAGAAACCCTACGTAGGGTAGCTGTGGGTCGGAACTGGCTCGGCGCCTACTGTGGCAGTGTAGAATAAGCACTGGACTGCTAAGCACAGAGACAGCAGGTCATACCCACTACCTGCTCCTCGGAAACCCTCTACAGGGTCGCTGTGAGTTGGAGTGAACTTGATGGCATTTAACAACTGCAGCAACAATATATAATCAAGGGAGCCCTGGAGCCTGGTGGCGCTTTGGGTTAATCATAGGGCTGCTGATTGTAAGGTCAGCAGTTCAAACATACTGACCCCTCCACAGGAGAAAGATGAGACTGAGAAACCGTGTCGCTTTGTGTCAGCATCTAAGTCCCACGGCAGTGGTTTAGTGTGGTTTGCTCTAATACCAGTGCCAGCTCTGACGTCCGTCAGCACACCTCAGGATGCCTGAGTCATGGTCGTGTGCCTTCAGAGGGCTGCGAGCTCCTCCCTACAGAGGACTTGAGAAGACCTCTCATTCTTCTTTTTTTTTTTTCCAATTTCAGCATTTTTCAAAATTAAATAGAGGTTGCAGATGCTCAGCTGAATGAATTTATAGCATACTATCCTAATCTTTGTTTAAATCATCCCCTCCAGAACAAATACTGCCTCAGATTCCCACATAGAAGCCACAAGAGAATGATAATGTATGTAACGCAGGCACTAACTGACCAGAAGCAGATGGCAAAGTGCCACTTCTATTACCAGCAAATAGCCAGTGCTCATTCTTGTCCTCATTACATAAAAAAACAATGAGGATCTAATTTTATCTGATAGAAAGTTGGCCAGAAACTTCAGAATGTTTAAGACGACTTTGAAATGTGAATGTGTATTCCCCTCAGGCCCTGATCACTTTGGTTAATGCCTTTGGTATGGAGAAGAGTGGTGGGGGAATTTCATGATAGACCCTTTTAAACTTTGTACCAGGAGGATGTATTTCTGTTCATAAATAAAATTATAGTACAAATGTTTTGGCATTTCATGCTCAAAACCACCAGAATGGAAACAGAACGTTCTCGCACGGCGATGAATGCCGCCAACGTCACTGAACAATTTGTGTAGAAATTGTTGACTAGGAAACGAAACAGCTATGTAAACGTTCACCAAAAGCACAATGAAACATTTTTTAAAAGAAGCAAAACCTCTTTACAACTGAAATTCCAGTTGCCGTCAAATTGTCTCCAACTCATGACAACCACATGCCTTAGAGTAGAGCAGTGCTCCATAAGGTTGCCATTGGGAAGTAGATGGCCTCCGGTGGGCTCCCATCCTTCAGTTAGCCGCAACCTTGTTAACCGTTGGCATCTCCCAGGGACTCCAGAGTGAATCGTTCTTGAAGGCACTCTGCTCAATAGACCCCAGCTGCATGCTCTGGGGTGTCCCTCGTTCTTTACTCCTTGTTCGCCCGGCGGACAAGGCCCCAGATGAAGGAGTTCTGAGACGGACTCTTCCTTTTTCACAGGGGGGTGGGAATAACTTTGGTACTTTATGGTTAACCTTATCTCATTGTTTTGTGTCTTCAGAATTGTTCTCTGTTTTTATCCAGTCTCCACAGCAGCAGTCAGGGTTACTCTGTAAAAGCATTTTCTTATCAGCAATTTGATAAAGCAACCCGAACTTTGTTTTTGAAATCCAGAGGGCCGTGTAGGGGAGGGTAAGGGGCAGGTGGTGTGCAGCTAGAAGAGGAAGCGTCTTCTTATGTCCACTCCCCTATAGGCAGAGCGCTGCGGTGATTTGGAAGAGCTGTCTGCAACAGACTATAAGACAAACAGCATGGTGTCAAAGGCCATGGACGAAAAAGGTGAGCCCCACATCTGCTTAGATCAGTTCTTCTGAGAAGTGACGAAGCCCTCAGAGTCAGCGTCTCTCAGCCACCCTCCACCCCAGGAACCCCAGCAGGCTGGTGTACGCCTCGAGCCCCCTTTCTTCTAGTCCAGGACTCGGATGCTTAACTGTGGCGATCATTGTTCATGTGGGTCCTGGTCTACCTCGAGTGTGCCGCTCACTAGCTAACAAAACGCAGGCTGGGAGCCACAGGCTGACCTGGGTCCCCACCAGTGACCCGACTCCCTTTTCTGCAGGTGACTATGGCAGCAGTGATGCTACGGGGGAAAAGTCGGAGCAGAACGAAGATGACAGCCTCAAATCTCAGGAGGCAAGAAACGGTTTCAATATGGACTTATTTGGTATTAACTGAAGAACAGAAATCAAGTGCACTGCGTACTGTGGAGTTTTTCTTTAGTACTTTTGATGGCATTCTTTTATTTTTAGTGTGGTAGGACACCACTTTGCACAGTGCATTTTATCAGTGTCATTATGATTAATTTTGTCTCCTTCCTCTTTGGTATAAGACCTACATATGTCACAGCCAGATAGAGTCAGCGTAAAGCGCTGGCTCCATGGCAGCATCGGGGTCACAGCTTCACACTGCCATGGTGGGCCCAAAGTGGAGGCCTGGTGGGGTGAAATGGGTGCCGGAGCAGCACTGGGGGTACAGAAGGCAAGCAGAGGCGCCTAGCAGGACCCAGGGTCACAAGGCAAAGCTCCCAGGAGCAGATGGCACTCCCATCCTGCCTGCCCCCAACCTATTCCGCTTTACAAGGAGACTGGCAGATGGAAAATCACAGTGGCCTCAGGCAGAACCCCGTTAATCAGTGGGAAGGACCTTGGCGTACAAGGCCAGCCAATTCTGTAGCTCTTCTTGAACCATCACTGAGCTTGCCAATTTTTTAAGAGTACAAGAAACGTTTTGTTTTCTCTGTATAAGAAATCCAATGGGCTACTTTTGTCTTACAAGAGACAACTTTGGTCACGAGTAAGTTGGACAAAATCTTAATTTCACTGGAGGCTTATGTTCATCAGAGAAGTAAGTGCTGGCATTGTCTCATTAGCCCCCTGTAGTCCCTGTGAATTCACAGCACGGGTCCCACCATTTAGGGACCTGCATTGAGAGAAGGGAAGCTCTCAGCCCCAGGTCTCTAAGTGGCAAGGCTTGAACTTGAGCCCTTTTCGAAGGAAGTCCTGGTGTGTGTGGTGCTTAAGGATCAACACTGAACTGCTAACCGCAAGATTGGCGGTTCAGACCCGCTCAGCCGCTCCTCAAACATTGTACAGGGTCGCTGTGAATCAGAACTGACCCGACAGCGCTTAACACTCTAGGTTCCTGGCTTGCTGGCTATGCGCCATGGAGTCGGTTCAGACTCATAGCGACCCTGTAAAGGGTTTCCGAGGCTGTAAATCTTTACGGGAGCAGAATACCTCATCTCTCTCACATGGAAGAGCCGGTAGTTTCGAACTATTGGCCTTGTGGTTCGCAGCCCAATTTGTAACCACTACACTACCAGAGGTGGCAGAAATGGGTTTCACACACGGCTGACCTAAAGGCTGGCAGTTCAAACCCACCCATCAGGACCTCAGAAGGTAAGGCCTAAGGGGGTTCTGCTTCCGTGGAGCAGACTGAGTAGAAACCCTCAGTTCCACACTGCACCCAGGGACTCTCCATGTGTCGGCATCAACTCAACCCCAGCTAGCACAAAGGGGACCCTACATGCTAACTGGCGAAGATGCAGAGACACTGATTGCTGTTTATTTAGCTTGATGGTTTTCCATTGCCCCTTTAGGAAGATCAGCCTGTCGTTATTAAGAGGAAAAGAGGCAGACCACGTAAACACCCTGTGGAAACTGTGTTCAAAACGAGTAGGTATCGCATGGGGTTTCCGCTCACACACGTGACATATTCACGCTGATTTCCTAAGTGGGATTTCTGCCTCTTTTCAGGAGAGGACTCCAAAGCAGACACTGGCATTGGCACTGTAAGTAATTGCAAAAGATGAAAACTCTTCAAATGTTTCTTGACCTGAAAAGGTTATTGTATTCATACTGTCTCGTACTGTAATCTATACAGTGTTTTGACCTAGGTTCTTTTTCATTCAAGTATTTGAAAAGGTTTAAAAGGCTTTTAGAAAGAAAACATTGACCATTCAGATAATATTTGTATTAGTGGCATCTTCAGGTAAATAATTATGTGAGTCAGTTCTTCGTTCTGACTCCATCCTCACTCAGGAGTTTGGTGATAGAAAATTGTAGAGGGGCATATCATCTAGTGGTCACGCTTGATTGAATTATGGAAATCAACTATTTTCTGTGACTTTTAGATTGCCGTTTCCTTACGGATCTCAGCTGTGTCTCCATCTCGTTACTTTCTGACAAACATTTCTTTTTGCAATTATATGCAAATTTTAATAAAAGCAAATCCTCCCAAGAGCAAATGACATTCAAGCCTCAGGTCCCCCACTGCCCCCCATACTCCCACTTCTGCTGGGCTGGGCCACATGGCCTTTGGGAGCCCCATTTCTTGACTATGAAGTGGTTGTCGTAAAATAACAAAAGGAGCTTTTGTGTGTGAGTGCATTTGCCCCATGGGGAGCGGTTGTGGGGCTGGGGACTGTTAATCTCCTAGCTCCCGTGCTCACCCCCAGTGGGGCAGCAGGGCTGCTGGGAGAGAGACCTGCTGCAGTCCTAGTTCTCACAGTGGGCAGACAGGCTGTGTGTCCAGAGGCATCCACACTGGCTGAGTTTACTGAATCAGCCACAGAAGATGGTTGTCCTTGTTGGCGTTAAGGGCCGTAGTATAGCCACATAAGTAATTGTTGTTCAGAGTGGCCGTCAAGTCAAGTCCGACTCATGACAAAAACCCACTCCGTCAAGTCAAGTCCGACTCATGACAAAAACCCACTCATGTAGAGTAGGCCTCCTTAGACTTCCAAGGCACCTCTAGGGGAGTTTGTACCAACAACTTTTCCACTAGTAGTTCAGTGCGTAACTGTGCCACCCTAAGACTCCATACCTCATAAATGTTGGTCAGTACCATCGAGTAGTTCTGACTCGTAGCAGCCCTGTACAGGGTTTCCAAGGCTGTAAATCTTTACAGGAACAGAAAGCCTCATCTTTCTCCCACCGAGCAGCTGGTGGGCTCAAAGTGCACACCTTGTGGTTCACAGTCCACAGTGCTTACGCTCCAGAGCCACCGTGCTCCCCATACATAAATAGAGGTCCTAAACTCCTTTGCATACAATGTTAACTACTTTTCTGTGTCTTGTTGATATACTGCCCATTTCGGGTTTTGTTTGTTTAAATTTAGGCAGAACAGTCTCCACCCAGCAGTAAAGCGAAAGTACCACCAACAGGTATGTACCAACAGCATTGGTTTTTGTTTTGTTTTATAAATGTTTTATTGTGAATTGTATGATAGTTTACATGGGAGAACAT